GGGTGCTGTGATGTTCCAGAATTTGGTTAGCAATTCCGCAATGAAATGTTTTTAGCTCTGCACTGACATCTTTACCTGAACAAGAGGGAAAAGGACTCACTGCACTAGAAAAGTGACAGTCTTAGAAGACCCAGCACAGAGATACCTTCCTTATCCTATATAATTACCTTGTGCATTAACCATGGGAGGTAACAGAGCTGATACCATGCCTAGAAAAGCAGCAGTAACTCCAGGGTTATTTAGAACCCACAGAAGAGCTATATATGCCTAAGAAATTCAGAGCTATATATCAATGGTTGCAGCTATGTGAGGAGTGAGATGCTCAGCATTGTTATGGGTGGCATTTTCATATGGTATGTAACACTGAAAAACCTCAGAGAGCCAAATTTTTCCAACAGTATCATCTGGTTAAATAAAAAGATATAACCTCTTTGTACAAGCTTTATGTGTAAAATTAAAGACTTGTTTACACTGGATTTAAGCCTTGGATGAATCTCTTTGCCTAGCTCTCTAGTGTGAGCATTTTGCAATAGTGCAGACTGGGAGTCTCACTGGTGTGGTTTGTGGCTTACTCACCCACCTGCAACTAAATTACCAGTACTGAAAGATACCTGTGTTGATAGGTAAGTCTTAGGAGCAGAAAAGCCACAAATCCCTTGAGCATTACCAAATACAGTCATTCTCCAGGGCATTTGCAACAGTAGGGCTATTAACCCCAATATTAAGACCAAATTCCAAAGTCCAAGTACAATGATTTCTCCCAGCACAGGAATTCTGTCTTTATTGGTGCTCCTCCTTCCTGAGAGGCTTTGAAGCAAGAAGCAGCAAAGGCTAGGATTGAAAATTACATGTTCTGTTGTGCTGGGTCAGGTTGTCCCTGTTCTAGAGCAGGGCTGGAACCACAGCCAGCACTGGGATAAAAATAAAACCGATGTGCAGCACTGGCAATGCAACAAAGCAATTCCTGTAGATAGCATTTGATATAAACCACCTTATAGCGTTTGCCTTGCAGCCAGTGTAAGGAGAACAAGTCGCTTTTCTGCACGGTGGAGTCATCTGATGTTTGCTTTAATTTCTGGCAGAATGAGGGAGCGTGAGTCAGATGCTCTCACAGCTGGCTTGGGCGAGGAAGAGGCCAGCAGGGACCCTGACTCACCAGAGCCGCCGCATTTCTTCCGAAAATCCAGCTCAGCGACTGGAAGTGAAATCACGGGCTGGAGGCAGCTCCAAGGTTAGGGAAAGCGGGAGGAGCAGGGCTCTGTGCGGGGGGGCAGTCAGCGAGCCCAGCCCAGGGTCGGTGCCGAGGGTACCGGTGAGAAACCCCGACAGACACGTCTCGCTCGCGTTCTCGGGCAGGCAGAGAACAGCCCCCTCCCCAGCCGGCACAGCCCGGGGCCGCTGCCCCGGCAAGCCCCGTCCCCTCGTTACCTCATTGCCACATTCCCCAGCGAGTGAGCTCAGCTATGCGCGCAGCCTCGCGCCTTTTATGGTCAAACAACTTTGCCTGGGCGAGGCTTTTTTCGCGAGTTGGGAGGAAGCGCCGGGGCTCAGCCTCTCCCCCGCCTCTCGGTGCTGTTGCCTCTCCTGGCGGGCGGGCCGGGGCAGCCGAGGAGCCCGGCCCCAGCCCCGAAAGCCCCAGCCCCGGGGGTGGCATTTCCTGCTCCCCCAGAGGTGAGTCTCTTCGCTTGGCTTGGCGACAAAGCTTTTGTTCTTTGCCCTGGGGCTGGCGCGGGGCGTGGAGGTGTGTGCGGGTTTCCTGCCGCTCCCGCCCTCGGACAGAGACCTTCGCTCTCGGTGGGGCTGATTTACGGTCGTGAGGACGTTTGCCCCTCCGCAGATAGAAGGTTCGCGTCTGTGGGGTGAGTTTTCTTCTCTCTCAGTGCAATGGAGGCGGCTCAGCGCTCCTGCACAGCCCCGGGAGCGGGGGAGAGGGAGGGGGTGCTGCCGGGCTTTACTCGGGACAAGCTCTCTTTTGTGTGCGCATGGATGAGCGAGACACCTCGGGAGCCTTTTTCCAGATGTGTTTGAGAGAGGAATCTGGGGCGCTTTGTGTATGAAATTTACTTAATTTATGACTTTCTGTCTCTCTGGGAGTGCCATGAGAAAGCGAAGACTCAAGTGCTTGCAAAGTCGTAGAACTTTCTAACGTTTTAAATACGTTTGCATAGCTTTTTGGAGTTTTTCCTCTCTTTTTTTCCTCCCTTGCAGAGGGAGGAGGCAAACCCAGCATCTGTGAGAGAAGTTTGTAACTCCGAATATCCCCCTCCCCCAGCCCGGTTGCTTTAAGGCTCTACCTTGCAGCTTGCATAGCTGACTGACTTTTCTCTCTTTGAAACTTTGTAACTTTGGGGCAGGCTGGGAGAACTTTCTGTATGAAAATAAGCATGACTCCTAAATCCGTTGAATCTATTCTTAATACTCTTTTTATCTTTTTTTCTTCCTTTTTTTTTTTTTCTGTAGTTCTCCTTCTGACCCCCCTCAGTTGGGAGGAAGTTGGGAAATAGGGGAAGTGCAGATGCGGTGTGTGGAACCACGATGCTGGGCTGGCTTTTACAGGGGCTCCCAGCGTGGCTAGAGCCAAACTGCTTTTACCAACAGAGGTGAAAAATGGCTCTCAGGTCTCTGCTTCCTCAGATTCCTCCTGCTTTCACTACCGCAGGAAAGGAGCAGAACTTTTGAAAGTGGTATCATGGGATCAAATAACTGAAAGCTCTCTGGGTGCATAAGAAGTGGCAGACCCACTGTGGGACCTCCTGGGAGATGTCACTTGGTTTTGTCCTCCTACTTTTCCTTGCTGTCAGAGTGAAACAATGTATGAGGCAACTAGGTATCCAGACTGTGTCATTTGAGGGCATCTTTCTTCTTAGCTCCACTTGAGTCATCTTAAATACTGTTACAGGAGGTAGAAAAATCTCTCCCCTTGGGGAAAATGTGAGGATGAGAAGGATTTGAGATTAGGTCTCTTGGCGTCACATTCCCTCTCCCATAGCTTTCACAATCTGCGCCACAGGACTTGCATGAGCTGTGTGTTTCTGCAAAGGCTTAGATGGCATTGGCAGCGCCCCAGGGTTGGGAGGGTGAGTCTGCAAGGCCAGCCTTTCTCAGGCGGTTTGGTCTGTGTGGGGGTGGACTGATAAACAGAAATAAGGATGAGCAGGGGCAACTGCTGGATGGAGACAGCCCTGAGCTGAAAAGGACCTTAAGTGCAACATAGCATATTGGGAAATGGGCTTCTTTGGGTTAAGGGAGATAGCAGCTGCTGGTAGCAAAGCAGCCCATGTCCCAAAACTTTTTGTGAAGCAGCCAATGTCCCAAAACTGTATGTTGACCAGCTCCGGTATGGATCATGCTTAGAAGTGACATTGTCACTGTAGTGTTCTGCTCATAATGCTGTCAAATCTGGTAGGACTACTGTTCCACCATGTGGCTCACTACACCATAGTGAAATAGTCGAGTATGAGGCAGAAGTCTCTAAAGAAAAGCTGGAGGTCTTTTTAATAGCTTCTGTAGCTTGGCTGGAAGCTGTAGAATGGAGAGAGTTGGTCAGTCCCTTCTGACTTGCAAGTCTGCTTGACCCCTACAAGTTTGAGGGATTGAGGACAGACCCTGCTAATTACTCTTCAGCCTTGGCCCTTTCCTCATGCTGGATCAAGTGGGAGATGCTCAGCACAGCTTTTTGGCTAGTGCTTACTGTTTCAACCTCTTTCTCCCCTTGAAAAGCTCAGAAGAGTTTGTCCAAGCATATGCAACTCATCAGCCCTTCACAAAGGGAAGGAAAAGTGCAGCAGCATGGACGTTGTGTTTGTGTTGTCACATGCTTGTGACCTGGAGAAGCTGTGACAGGTTACTATATCGTGCCACACTGCACTGAGTCGTGGGAGCGCTTAGAATGGGGCACGAAGGTCTTATCAGCTGCCAGGGGTAATCGGGGGTGGGCGGATGTTTGTGGCACCAGGGCTGTCTGTCCCAGCAGCTGTTATTGTCCGTGAGAGAAGCCGGCAGTGTGGAGGGGCACTGATTTGGACATGCCAACGTGAAATGCTGGCACGGAGCCCCTGTGCTGACGGCAGCCCTATTGTGCTGGGGTGTTAGGATGGCTATAGGCATGCCAGGCTTTACAACAAAGCGTCTGGCTCCATGGAGGCTTCTCGCACGAGTGAGGTTGTTGGCCTGGGGGAATCCTGGAGATGCGCCTTTTCTCAAGAGACCTGAGGTTCCCCCAGCAGCCGGCTCGGTACGGGTATCCTCCGGCTGCTCGAGCCGAGGGAGAGGGGCAGGTTCACAAGCCCCCAGGAGACCGGGCCGAGGGGAGCCCCGGCTGCGGGGTGCTACCCGCGCCCCCGGCAGCCCAAAGGGGCGGGCGGGGGGCGGTGGCGCCGAGGCGGCATCCGGGGAGCGCTTCCTGGCGGAGGCGGAGCGGGCGGCGGAGCCGCGGCCAGCCCGGCCGTGGGCAGGGAGCAGGGATAGCGGGGGTTCTGCCTGGGGGGGTGTGACACCGAGGAGAGCCTCACCTGCCCCGTCGTTCTGCCTCCGCCGGCATGGAGGGGCCTGGAGGTAAAGGGTGGGGTGTGCCGGGTCTTGGAGTGGGGGCTGGGGGAGCGTTGCTGGGACTGTCACAGGCTGAGGTCGAGGGGAGCTGTCTGGCGTTATTGGGTAAAGGGGAAGAGAAAATGCTGACTCCAGTTCTGGGGGCACCCTTGGGGTGCAGGGGATCACCATGATCCTCTTCAGCGTGTGAGGCTCTGGTGCAGCAGAGATCTGTGTTTCTCTGTGTCCAGAACCCCTTTGTGGTTAATGCCATCCTGAGTTGAAGTGGTGAAGTATGATGGCTCACTCACCTGTCTGCAGTTTCTGTTCCTCCTTTTTCCTCTGGCATCTCACCCTCTGGCCTGACTTAAATTCCTGTATCCCTCTGTTTCACATTCACATCCTCTCTATTAAGTTCCACTCTGGCTCAAGGATGACTTCATGTGGGTTTCCTCCGTCTTCTCTCCTGCCAGGTGCTGAGAAGATGGCCTCTCCAGGTGCCCCAGGGACCCGCATGACATCCACAGTCAGCATCAACATTTCTACGCCCTCCTTCTACAACCCACAGAAGAAATTTGCACCCGTGGTTGCCCCTAAACCCAAGGTGAACCCCTTCAAGTCTGGAGGAGCATCAGAGTCGTCGCTGCCACCGCCTCCTGGACCTGGTGCCCAGCGTGCTCAGATAGGGAAGGTGGGGGAGGTTCCATCAGCATCTATGTCCCTGCTGGCAGAAGGTAGGTGAGGGCTGGCATGGCAGATGTGAATATGCATTTCTAAATTCTCAAGGTGTGAGGTCTGTGACTGGGCTAAACATGACAACAGGGGCATAACTGCTATAAATGATGGATATTCTTGCTGTAGAGGCTGGCAGATTCCAGTCTCAGATATCCAGAATGAGATAAATGGATTAGAAAGGCTTCTCCAAGTACATAGTATCTTCGTTAGGAAAGGAGGTGGGAAGGCAGTCCTGCATTGCACTAATGCTGGAGGAATGCAATGGATTTTTCACAGTATTCCCTGGGTGCATAGTTGTGTAATTGCAGTCAGTTTCTGGCCAACATATCTGAGAGCAAGTATGTTGCAGAGAAGTTGACCCTGATAGTGATGAATCATGCTGTTGTCCTTCTTCATGATTGGTTCCAGCTCAAGTTGGTTATCTCTGACTGTGGAGATCCTTCTTGTGGACCCTACAGTTGCCATCTTTCCTTCTGGAGAAGAGGAGGGAGAAATATTTGCCTGAAAAAATGATGGCAGTGATCATAAACAGGAAGTGAGACTTAGAGTTTGTATGTCTTGTACAGTTTTGTACTTTTCATAGTGGTTTGGGTTGGGTGTGTTTTCCTGTGTTGAGTGACTTCTTGATTCACTGTGGTTTTCTTTTTTCTTTCTTTCTTTTTTTATGTGTTTTTTTTTATTTCCTGTGGTGGTGGCATGTTTTTTTTTGTGTGTCATGTTTTGTTGCTTGTTTGGTTTTGTGTCCTCTAAGAAGCACGATTGTGTGGTTCTGTAGTTGGAACTAATCAGCATAGGGCCATCAGAAATTTCCTTGAGGACCCCTTGCTAATGCTTGATGCTGCACGTTAACCCAAGGTTCTACCAAGTCAAGGGTACATCTCAGTCAGGACACACATATTCAGATAATACTGGTTTAAATTTCTTTCCCTGTTTAGCATAGACTGTGCAACACTAATATTTTTTAGGTTAACATGCTAAGTTAGTGGGCAGCTGACCTGATGGTAGGAAGGCTGTTCCTGTGCTTAGAGGAGAGAAATTAAGCCATTTTTTTCCATGTCTCAAGTCACAAGGGCATGCCGGTGCTTTTGTCTCCTAGAATTGTACCAGCTAACTCTGGTGATCTATTTCTTGTATGTTGTTGGCTGGAATCTTGTATCTGTGGAAACCAAGGTCCCATCTTAGGCTTTATGGTCTTCTGCTATAGTTGTGTGGATTAGGGATGTGTCTGTCAGAAGGTCTCAAACTGACACAAATACATTACATGAAGTACTAAAGTAGACAGATTGATGTTAAATTTTTCAGTGTACAGTGTGAGTGGAACACTGGGTGTTGTTTGCTCTGCTTCTCTGTTCCTTAAAATGTGTATTGTGAATGAACTAGACAGAAAGATTAGCTAAAGAACCATTTGTCACAGACTGCTGTGTCATCATCATTTGAGAGCTGCCAGCAAGACATCTGAAGTACAGATGAACCACCAAAACTCAGTCATGAGAGAAATGCATCTGATTTGACCCTTTTCTGCCTTTCTCATACACTCCCCAAACAAAATGTAGTATAATATAAAGCCATAGCAATTGGTCTCTTTGTCTTAAATGACAGGATGGCTAAATTAGTATTGCTGTAGGAATGTTATATTTGGTATTGATTATTCTATAAAACGGGTATAACAACTTTATGGGCAGCTTCTTTTTTTCCATAAATAATTAATAAAACAGGCTTTTAGCATATCTGAAACAATGTGACAACAGATCAGGGCTTTGTTTCTGTAATATTCTTTGATTTCAATAAACCAAAAGGTAAGCATGTACAAACTGCACCCCAAACTGTAATTTCAAAGAAAAATTACAAACACAGTATCACTCCCTCCCCCCAATAGAATTTCTGTGGCACAAGAAGGCTTGGAAGAGGTGTTGCATACCAGGGCAGTTTATGCATTCCACAGGCTAATAAGATTTTGGCTTTCATTTTCTGAAAGGGCAGTATCGTCTCCCTTAGCTTACCGATCAGTCCTTATAAAGCCTGTTGACAACAGCTGGATATGAAGATGAGACAATTCGATTACTGCTGTTAGAAGTTGCACTTGGAGTAGCTGGAATGAAAACCTTGGTCTTTTACCCTACTGCTGGTTGGGGATAGCTAGGAAGAGAGGTGGGTGTCCAGAAGAAGGGATGTGGAAGTTACACCTCCTTGTTCTTGTTGTTCTTGCTGCATGGTTGATAAGAGGACAACTTTACCCATACATGGTGAAGGGAAGAGGATTCACATTTCTTTGACTGTGTTGTAGTAGAAAATGTCTGGTTTTGCCTGTTCCGCATCTTTGGCAAATTGGTAACAACGGGGTTTTCTTCTAGGAGACTGAAGTCCTCTGGTGCTTTTTCAACCTGCTTTAAAAGGTTCTGGAAAATTTCTCATGTCCTAATATGCACTGGGTGTGAGGACATCTTGGCCTCCAAAAGGAGAGCTGTTTTCATCCCCCAGAAAAACAAAGAAGTTTCAAAGATTTTTCATATGCATAATGGGCAGTTGGTGCAACTTGGTTTTTTTCCCCCCACACTTGTTTCTTATATGCTTACTGCCCTGCTGTGAGGTGCCAGCTAATTTTCCTGTAAAAACACAGGCTCTTCAGGATCCTGGGTTGTCCACTGGCACTCTGTCTTTGCTGCTCTGTATCCAGTAACCTGAGCAAGTTACTGGCAAGAAAAGCATATGCTGTGGACCAGCAACTGAGACAAGGAGTGGGAAAGGACATAGTGAGATGTGTTTACCAAATATACAATAACTATTCTCAATGACTAATAGCAACAGCTATTGAGGAAAGATTACGTGATTGTGAAAAGCTTTGGACAAGGTGGAAACCAGCCTGTGGAGTTCACTTGTCCTTGGTGGGTGCTAGGATCCCCTGGGTACAGCAGAGGGCCAGTGGCATCCTAGGCTGCATCAGAAGACCAGCAGGTCAAGGGAGGTGATTCTGCCCCTCAAGTCTACTCTTGTGAGACTCCACCTGGAGTGCTGCATCCAGCTCTGGGATCCTCAGCCCAAGGAAGACATGAACCTCTTAGAGTGGATTCTGGGGAGGGCCACAAAGATAATCAGAGGGCAGGAGCACCTCTCCTACGAAGACAGGCTAAGAGATCTGGAGTTGTTGAGCATGGAGAAGAGAAGATTGGGTAGACCTCATTGCAGCCTTCTAGTACCTGAAGAGGCCTTACAAAAAGGAGGAACTTTTTATACTGGCAGATAGTTACAGAACAAGGAGCAATGGTTTTAAACTGAAACAGGGCAGGTTTAGATTAGATTAGATATTAAGAAGAAATTCTTTACTCAGAAGATGATAAAGCACTGGAACAGGTTGCCCAGAGAAGTTGTGGATGCCCCATCTATGAATGTCCACACTGGATGGGGCTCTGACCAACCTGATCTAGTGAGTGGCATCTCTGCCCATGACAAGGGGGTTGGAAATAGATATTCTTTAAGGTCCCTTCTAACACAAACTGTTCTATGACTCTGTGACTCTACTTGCTGCAATACCTTTAAGAACCCTCCTGGCTTGGAGTAAGAAATGATCCAAACTTTTATTCTCATTCTTTCTTTCCCATAGACTTGCCACTACCACCTCCTCCTCCACCTGGAGAGGAGACAAGTTTCTCCTCAAACTGTGCGTTTCCACCACCCCCACCACCCTTTGAAGAACCTTTTCCACCAGCCCCAGAAGAAGCTTTTCCTTCTCCTCCTTCTCCTCCTCCTCCTCCTCCACCAATGTTTGATGAAGGACCTGTAAGCATGGTACCTGCCCCACAGGTGAGTGAGGTTCAAAGGAAATGTGGTTTCTGTGATGCTCTGTCAGTTGTGACAGCTTCTTGCTACTCTCTGACCTCAGCAGCAGGAAGCCCTGAGATCTGGGAAAGCTGAAAATGCTACCACCCCATGGACCAGCATAGCTTAGGGTCAGCTGTCTGGGCTGCAGCTCTGCAGATGAAGGACCTAGGGTTCCCGGTGGACAGTGAGCTGAATGTGAGCCAGCAATGCGTCCTTGTGGCAATAAAGGCCAACTGCACTCTGGGCTGCACTTGTGAGAAAAGGGCAAGGACTGTGATTATTCCTCCCTTCTGTGCTAGCGAGGCTGCATCTTGGAGGACTGCATCCATTGGGTCTCTTTGGTATAACTCCAGTGGAATACTGAAGGAGATGCAATCCAGTAGATGGTCGTAGCAGTCATTGGGGGTTGGAGTAGAAGAAGCGACCAAGGGAGGGATCTAACTGCAGTCTGCAATATCTAAAGGAGGGCTGGAGAGAAGACAAGATTCTTCTTACTGGGGCACAGCAAGAGACAATGGACAGAAGTTATGGCAAGAGAAATTCCTCTTGGACAGAAGAAAACCGTGTTCCGCTCCAAGGGTGACTCAACGCTGGTACAGATGCCCAGAAAGACTGGGGAACTTGCATCCCTGGGAACGTTCAGGAATCATCTGGACAGGGCCCTGAGCAACTTTGTGTATCTTGGGAGTTAGCTGTGCTGAGCAGTGTGTTGAACTATAGACCTCCAGATGTCTTTTCCCACCTAAATCTGTCTGAGAACTTCTTTGGGCTGTGCATTTTCCCACCCTTTGTAGACCTTGGAGACTGTATCCTGTTCATCTTCACCAACTTGTTATCCACTCAAAGCAAGGAGCAGATCTGTACCACAGTCCAAAGTATCAAAATCTGCTATTGTAAGGGGATACACTAATTTCTCTGGCTGTTCCTGTAACATGCTCTGCTCCCTTTTTCCTCATGGATGGCGGTATAGGTACGTGGCAAGATGAGCAGCATTGATCTTGAGATTGACTCACTGTCTGTAATGTTGGATGACATGGAGAAGAATGACCCCTTCAAATCCCGGGTGAGCTCTCCAGAATGTTGCAGGTGGAAGAAGAGATGACTAGTTTGCTGAACAGAGGTAGTGAGAAAGGTGCTACTGAAGATTAAAATGTCTGGATAAACTATAGCATGGAAGTATTTGTGAAGGACCAGAAAGCATAGACTTTGCAACTTGTCAGGACTGCTAAATATATAACGGTACTCCTAGCATTCTGGGTCTGGGATAGCTGCAGACTTACTGCTATAGCCGGCATATTTTCTCTTCCACCTTGCTGATAACTGCCTGTTTTCCTTCTGCTGCTTCCCTTTACAGATAACTCCAGGATCCACAGGTTCTCTGGAGAAACCATTGGCCCCAAAAACCCATGAGGAAATGCCATTTGCACCCAGAGATACTCCTTATTCCTTTCCTTCCAAGTTCACGCCAAAGCCAAGTGGAAGCTCATCTTTCAAGCCCCCTGGAGTTGATTTGAACCCCACTCCAACCCCATGGGCAGCCCCACAGCAACGCAAGGAACCCCAAGCACCAGTCCCTCCACCCCCCTCTCTCCCTCCTGCTCAGCCTACCCCTAAATTCACCCCACCTTCTGTTGCTGGCTCTCCTATGTCTGTGTCCAAATCAGATGCCAGTGTTCCCATGGCTCCCTCAAACTCTACAAGATATCCTACCTCCCTTCAGACTCAGTTCACAGCCCCTTCACCTTCAGGTCCCTCCTCTCGACCACAGCCTCCCAATTTCACCTATGCCCAGCAGAGGGAAAGACCCCAAGTGCAGGTGAAGCCACGTCCAACAGAACAACCTGCTGCTGCAAAGGACATGGTAAGGGAAAGAGCTACGGATGTCTTTGGACAGGCACACTGGGAGTGAAACAAAGGATGAGGGAGGTTCTGCCACAGACTGGGGTAGGCTGTTACCCATCTGAAAGAGAGATGTAAATATAGAGATAGTGGTGAAGAGGGGATAGGACTTCATGTGAAGGTAGAAAGGAGCAAGCAGAGTGGATAGCAGATTGTTCCCTAAAGAGGGATAGGGATGACCAGTAAAAGAGAGAGAAGTAGGTCTATTAGGGACAGGGTGGGAAGGACTCTGTCTGTGTGTGTCCTTTGGTATTGAATGTTTCTTCTTCCTGCAGCATAGACCCACAGGTTCTACTGCGGATCCACCTAGAGGGAATTCCTGTCTGACCATGAAGGAGGTAGAAGAGCTAGAGAAGTTGACTCAGAAACTAATGAAGGATATGGAGCATCCGCCCCCCTCAGAGGCTGCTACTTCTGGTGTGTTCCCTCGGTGGACAGTGGTAGGACTAAGACTGCGGTGAGTTTTTATCTCTCCTAATCCCTTTCTTCTTCCATTGACAGAGCTCTGCGGCTTCTGCCGGAAGCCCCTATCACGAACTCAGCCAGCTGTAAGGGCCCTGGACAGCCTCTTCCATGTGGAATGCTTCACCTGCTTCAAATGTGAGAAGCAACTGCAGGGGCAGCAGTTCTACAATGTGGATGAGAAGCCCTTCTGTGAGGACTGCTATGCTGTGAGTCACTGGAATAAAAGCCACTGAAGAGTGCTGAGCTTGCTGTGGTTGCTCTCTCTTGCTTTCCCTTCCTCCTTCTGTCTTGGATCTCTGTGGCATAGCCTTGCACAGGTGGTGGATTGGATTAATGTGTCTTACTTGTTTCCTTTGGGCTCAGGGGACCTTGGAAAAGTGCAGTGTCTGCAAACAGACCATCACAGATCGGATGCTGAAGGCCACTGGTAACTCATATCATCCCCAGTGCTTCACCTGCGTGATGTGCCATACCCCTCTTGAGGGGACCTCTTTCATTGTGGACCAGTCCAACCAGCCTCACTGTGTGGATGACTACCATAGGTATGGAGAGAGCACATGCATGTGGGGTTGGGTTGCCCATGTCATCTGTTGGATGTGAAGTTAAAACTGAGTCAGCAACGCTGTAGCAGTTAAGGTCTCTTCCCACCTAAACTTCTTTGTGATTTATTATTCCCTTGTGGCTAATACTATTGAACAGCAGTGAGAAACCTGCCTTGAATGTCACCACAGTGGTCACAGTCTCCTCCATGCTTTTATGTGTTGCAGGAAGTATGCTCCGCGCTGCTCAGTCTGTAGTGAGCCTATCATGCCAGAGCCTGGGAAGGATGAGACAGTGCGTGTGGTGGCACTGGAGAAGAATTTTCACATGAAATGTTACAAGTGTGAGGTAAACCTGGTAGCCAGCTCCTCCCATCTCTCCCATGCCCGTCACCAGCAACTGGGTACCTTTAGTTATCTATCCTGACAAAATGCTAAAGTTGTTTTGAATGAATCTGGAGCATTTTTTAAGCAGGTTCAGGAAAAATTAGACATTCACAGACCATGGGTCCATGAACAAGGACTATACAGGGTGGCTGTATTCTCCAACACCCCTAATGCAGCAGTTGTGTATACTAGGGGAACATGCTGGGATCACAGAAGTGGCTCGCTTTCCCCTCAAAATAGCATCTCCCATTTGCACCATCAGAGAAAGAGCAGTAGGCTGTGAGCCATTATCCTGATACAGTGGGGCATTTCTTACATCCTTGAAGGCAATCACCTTGCCATGGGCTGTTGTTGAGTTCCCTCTCTCTTCTTTCCCTGTTCAGGACTGTGGGAAGCCTTTGTCCATTGAAGCAGATGAGAATGGGTGCTTTCCGCTGGATGGGCATGTGCTGTGTATCAAGTGTCACACCGTTCGTGCAAAAATGGCACGCTGAGGAGCTTGGAGTGGGCATATCCTTGAGACCCCCCTGCACTCATTACTCTTCCCCTCCCTGCCATTGTCCTACCCTTCTGCCTGACAAGGCAGATTGCTACCAATGGAGACTATGCCAGCACAGTTCTTTACTCATGTAGGATTCACCGCTCCTAGACTTCACTCTGCACACCCACCAAGAAAGGACCACTTCTGTTACTGTTTCCTGGCCCCAGTATATTCCAGGCTGGAGTCTATGATCAAGATGAGTGCACAGTCGCTGTTCCCTCAAGATTCTGGAGGAGAAAGACCAGACCTCCACCACCGCCTGGTGGAAGTAGCAAGAACAACCTGGTGGCAGGTGCTGGGAAGGGCTGAGCATTCTGCAGTTCCATGGAGCCAAGAATAATGATGGGAGTTTAGAAGGTGGAAGTCTACATCTCAGCACCACTTCTGTCTTCAATTTTTTTTTCTGTCTTGTGGCACATTATTGTCAGGATGTCTTCCCCTGCTCCCTCCCTGACTCCTAGGTTAGAGTGTGGAGGCAGAACATTAAGGATCTGTTACTGTTGCTGGAAAAAGCTAACCTGCTATAGCTTTCCTGTTTTTAATGGATTTTACTGATTAACTGTCTTGTTGCCTTTTTGTTTTCCTTAGCCAGATTAAACTGGCAATATTTGAATTACTACTCTGTTCCTGAGTTTGGAAACATTTTTTTTGTTGTTTTTAAAAAATCCTTTTCCCTTCCCAAAATGAATCATTTCCCAGTGTGGTTTCTGGACAGCCAGGCTGGGCACCAGAGTAGCAAAGCAGTCCAAAGAATGCATGTTTACAAGTAAAGACTGTCATATGGATGGGCAGCACACGGAGAGGAGATGTCTCTGTGCATGGATGAGGATTCAGCAGACTGAGGAACGTTTCCCCATTCCAGTAGGGATCCTGTCACTGCTGTCAGTGAAAGCTGCGGTGTAATTGCAATGTACTGTCTGGCTCTAAGTGTTACTGCACCGAGCCCCATTTCTAGACTAGAAACTCTCAAACTGAACAAACCTTTTGAATAACAACACTGTCCAACCACTGTTTGCATTCAATAAAATGTGTGGTTTTTTCCATTAACCTATGTCTACTGTGTTTGTTCAACTGCCCATGAAAATTGCTGTCTTTGGCAGTGGAGAATAGCTGTTCTTCCACCTTGCCTCCAGAGATGAGGAGTCTGAACGTGGTGTTTTTCTCTCTGTGTCTTGGTCTCCTTTCCAGAGTGTTTAGTTTCCAATTTTTGCTGTACCTGAAGAGTAGCTCTCATTTAAAGGAGTGGAAGACTGCATTTCAGTACAGCAAGACTGTAGTCTCCTTGATGTGTCACTGGGAGATGAATATTCCAGTCAGTTACAAGTGGACTGTAATAAAAGTGGTCAATTAGCTTGCTTTGCCCTAACTATTGCTACTCTGAAAGTGTTTGTACTTGATGTTTATGGTTTTAAGCATGGTAGTGTAATGGTCACTGCAGGTGAAACTCCTTTGTGGTAAGCACCAATGTTTCTACACTTCAAAGAAGTGAAACCTACTCTTAATCCCTTGCCAGTTTTTGGAAAATCTTTGATGACTTCTTGCAAATTGATCCAGTAAATGCTTTGAGGTTTTCTATAGCATGAGCAAAGAATAAACAAATTGTACCTTTGATTTTTTTTTTTCCCTTACCTGACTTCTTGGTGGTTTGTAGATGTTGTTTTGAGAGGTTGTTTCTAGACTATATAAAATTGTATATAAATTATATATAAAATTTATTTATAAAAGCTCATGCCTACAACCACCAAGGAGTGTGAAGGAGAGAAACTGTGATGGGATGGAGAAGCGCTCTAACCTAGAGCTATCAGAGGATCATAGCCCTGGTGTCTGGGTAGGAAACCTGTCCAGTGGAGTCAATGGGAAGGACACTCTGGATCACCTTGTGGATTAAGGGGAGATTAATCCTTCTAAGGGGCATGGGGTGCAGGGAAAGAGCATTTTATGACTGTACAACACTTTGTTATGGGATGTCTAGGGGTGGGATCAAAGGCAGGAAAAGGGAGTGATCAAGGACAGGAAGCACTATGGGAAAACTGAAGGGAAAAGGGCAAAGAAGGTGGTGTCTGCATGTACAGAGCATGCTTGTCTGGCCATGCCCTATGTGTCATCAGTGCAGTTTGTCCTGCCTTTGCAATAACTTTTTTTTTCCTGTGAATGGACTCTATTCCATGCATGTGGATCTAAGCACCAGCAGGTGGAAATACCTGAGTCCATGCATATTGAGTGGATGTGTATGTCCCTGTGCTACCACTAGTAAAATCAAGTCAGAGTAGCTGGTGAGTAGGGTAAGAGACTTGAGAGCCATGACATGGCACAGCTGTGAGTCTAGCTAGAAGCTGTAAAGATGTGCCTGAGAGTCAACTGCTAGAGCTTCCAGGAGATCCAAGCCAGCTACTCTTGGATCTGAAACTCAGCTACTGGATCAGCTACAAGAGAACAGTTTGCATTTGTGTGTGAGGTGACTGGGAGACCAGGGAATCCTGGGGCCAGCTGCTGGGTAGAGCCAATGTCTAAGGCTAACTACTGGAGGGCTCCAGGGGGGGCGGGGTGGGGGTGTGGGGGTGTGTGCATGTCCGAGTGCCCACCACTGAGCAGGGCTGCAGGCCTTGAGAATTTGCTTGTCCTGGTGCCAGCAAGAGGAGACTAGCTCAAGCTCCAGGTCATGGAGCCAGCTACTGAATAGCTAGTCTTGGACGCTAGAGGGTTTCATAGTACATATGTATGTATCGCCCTCTAACAGGTTCATCCTGATCAGCCAGAGAAGGGAATAGGATCAGGCTGTTTGTGCTGTGCTTGCATGACTGCTGTGCTCTCTGCCTCAGGCCAGTCATGTGCACTGTGTGTGCTTTTATGTACATGTACATATTATATGCTTGTGTATTTTGTGTGCGTGAGTGCCTATTGGGAATACATGCTCAGGCTTGCTACTGGCTGTAACCTGAGGACATGGAACTGAACAGCCTCTTCTTTATCAGGCCAGCTGATTCAGCAGGTTCTAACAGTTGAAGTTGGAAGGGACCTCCTTGCTTAGAGCAGGGTCAACTAGAGCAGGTTGCTCAGGAATGTACTCCTCCATATTTTAATACTTCTGAGGATGAGAACACAACCTCCCTGGGTAACCTGTTCTAGCACTAACTACTTTCAGTACATTTTTTTCTTACCTTCAAATGGAATTTACTGCATTCTGCTGCTCCTTTCAGTGGATACCACTGAGGCATATCTGGCTTCTTTTTCACTCCCTCCCATCAGGTATTTATACACAATGATGAACCACCCAGTCCTTCGCCTCTCGAGTCTGAACAGTGCCAGCTCTCTCCTTGTATGTCTGATTATCTAATCCCTTCAAAATCATAGTGGCCTTTCACTGCACTTGCTCCAGTAAGTCTTTGTCCTTCTTTGTGCTGAGGAGCCCAGAATTGGACATAACACTCCAGGCATCTGATTGATGCTTGAATGAAGAGGAAGAGTTGGCTCCTTCCAGTTACTGGTGATGCATTTGCTAATGTAGTCCAGATACTATTGTCTTCCTTTGCTACAAGGGTTCAGGCACAACCTGCCGTTTACTGTGACCTGCAAGTCCTTTTCTGCAAAGCTGCTTTCCAGCCAGTCAGTCTGCAGCTTGTACTGGTGCGTGGGGCTATTCTTCCCCCATTTCAAGGCTCTGTTATTTCCCTTTGTTCAGCTTCCTGAATCTCCTCTCTTACCATTTTCCCCCTCTATTAAGGTCCCTCTGAACAAGAGCCCAGATAGCCCAGCTATGTGATGTATCAACCTCCCACCTTTCTATCACCTGCAATGACAGGCCAAAGTTTACACATGCATGACATAAGATTGTAATCTTGTGTCAGCCTTATCAGGGGTTATGTGTTAGCCTGGGTGTCTGCCAGGTAGCAACTTATTATCCGTATTTCATATTAAAGACATCAATTAATAAGGCTGAACTTACTGATATACTAATGATTCATAGTAAGAGCTTAGTTTGTCAGCTCTAGTTGCAGTGACTTAAATAGCTGTAGTATGTGTATTCTGTGGTACCTTGTGTATATTCTGCTGCTTCTCATGTTGAACTTTCTTGCTTTAGGTTGCAGTTCTTTAGCTCTTTGCTTCTTAACCCTTCTGTCTATCTATGGTTAAGCAAGCGTTTCCCAGGAGCAGGAGTGTTAACTTATAGCCATAAGAACTTGGAGCATTGTACAGTTATGGAAATGGTGATAGTTATCTCCAGCAAGTAACTGATTACTGAATGTGTAGCACTCACCTTCATCAACCTAGACTCGAAAAATAAATCTTGAGGTAGCTACTCTTCCCAAATGGAAGAAAGTCTCGGGAACATCAGTGAGAATTTTTTTTATCCCTGGACAGTCTATTCTGCAGAAGGAAGTACTACTCATGTATTTCATCAAACTACAGCAGTAGCTGCTAGTCTTTCTTATGATTTAGGAATAATAACAGCTGTAAAAAGATGGATATAAGATGTGTATGTCTGTAACTGGGTTGAAAGAAAAAAATCTGAAGTGACCAGGTGCATAGTTATCCTTTAATCCTAATGCAACTGTACTTCCACATCAAGTCTGCCGTTAAATGGATGAAGACCATCAGCTGAAACAGCTAAACACGGATGTAAGGACCCAGCTGGAACTAAAAATATGTATGCTAAAGGTCCCAAAAATATTTGAAATAAGCCAAAGAACACCAACACAGCCTGCTCTGCCACAGATTTATTTACAAAATATTATTTACAGATATAAGTGTCTTGAGATCTGATAAATAATAACATTTCCTCCACAGAGAAGGAATAAGGCAGACCCCCTACACATTTTTCTGTTACAAATACCCTATCCAGCCAAACAAGACTTTTCTCTCTTTTAAAAAGGGGCAGAGAAAAATGGATAACTAAAGGGGTTTCTGTTCATGGTATATGAAAAGGTATTAAGCTGTTTGGAGAGATGTAAATCTCCCCTCTGAAGTGTGCATGTGCAAAACAGCAACATGCTGAGGTGATGTTATCACACAAGTTACAGCAGGGTGTGCTGCTACTCCCAATTTGTCCTCTGAAGAAAGAAGTACACCACGGGTTGGTATTCAAGGCAAGAACAGCTGAATTAAAAAATAATCCCTTACCAGCAGCCTTTTGAAAGGCTGAACAGTTTGTTCCTGTTGTAAAATAAGAAAGACAGAAGGCTGCTGAAGTGAGAAGGAATGTATGCCAGGGAGTGAATGCGCCCAGTCTCTACCTGTCTGTATTCTTGTGCCTGTTCCCTGTATGTCCCAGGCTATAAATCTGAACCCTCATTTCCAATCCTCAAACATAATTCACCACTCCCAGCCCATTTTGTATTCCATGTGATACACTAAGGGTCTGAAACTCCAGTATATGGACTACAGGGACTACTCAGTGCTGCACAAAATGGACTGTAGAAGACAGGGCTGAGAACAGTTTTTAAGACCAGTGCTCTGAAACATACTGATGGCTGCTGTTGAGCTAAAACAAGGGGGAACAGAAATGAGAGCAGGTGGTGTTGCCTCATGAGCCTTTTCAGTTCTGGTTGTTTTGCTTTGCTTGTCCCAGTCACTCATTTGGAAGCAATTGCCATAGGAATGATTCCAAGTGATATCTGGTAAGAATGGGCATTTTTCAAGCTTAAGAGCACAACAACTGATCACTCCTTAAATCCTTGGATGCTACACAGGATCCTCTTCTGGTGGCCTGGAAGTGACACTCCCATCTGTTTCAAATCCCTGGAGGAAACGGGAAAAGAAAGATAAAATGAACTGCTGTTCTTATTCCTTGGGGACAAGGATGTGGGTAACTATTACCGAGCATTAGTTCAGAAAGCTTCCTTTCCCTCAGTGCCTCCTACTACACCTATCTTTACTCTAGAGGGAAGAAACTTCTAGATGTTCCTGCCCTTTCCTGGCATCTCTGCCCACCCAGTCAACTGACCTTTCCCACCTCATGACTAGGCCTGTGCTCCCAGTAAATCATGACTTGTTAAATCAGCTTGTGATATGGGCCATGTCTCAACCCTTTAGCATGTTTGTGCCTGCTC